TGTGGCCTCTATTTATAGGTACAGCTTTACATGTTTGATAGAATCTACAAATTACATAATAATATGAGATAATTGTAGGACATAGAGATAACGGGAGATATTGAAAATTATAGGAGATAAAGGAGATAATAGGAGATATATGGACATCCATAAAGATATTATTATATTCATAACAAAAAACATGTTATCATTTATTTTTTAAATGTTGTCAATTGTTATTAAAGTGTAGTAAATAAGATTCATTTCAAAGAGATTCAAAAATATTTTCTTAGAATTCTCCTTTTTGCCCCTTTTTTTTAAGGTAGAAATTGACACATCAAATCAAATCAAAATCAAATTAAGTCATAAAAAATGTCCTAGATTTTTTTTCCAGTACAAGAATCACACATAAATAAATATTTATTCAATGTATTAAAACCTAACTTGAATCCTAGTGACCTAGTGAACCAGGTCTTTGATAGCTCAATTTAGAGTTTTAGACAGATTGACCATATAGATTTAATTTTATAGTAATTCTAAGAAAGTGTGAAATAACATTTTTTTGAGTTAAAAAAAAGAGGTTAATCTACATCCACACCCTAAAATATTTAGTAGTACATCCACCATCTACTATATTTTTTGGGCAATTTTATACTTAGAAATTTAGAATGCTGGATGCACAAAAAAATAATTTACAGTATTGAATGCACTTGAAAAATATTTTAGGACATTAGATATACCAAAATATAATTTAGGGTGTTGTATGTATCCAAAAAAAATACTTCAAGGTATTTGATGAACTATAAAATATTTTAGAGTATTAGATGTATTTTTAAGAAAATATTTCAAAGTGCTATATGCATTTTAACCCTTAGAAGGATAGCAATTCATCATATTTATGTTTTAATAATTTTATTTTGTTAGATCATGCCTAATTTATATATGAATATTTTATTTGCTGATGAATTGATGCCTTTTTCAATTGAAGTATTACTTTTTTCAGGCTATATATATTTTTTTAATAAAAACAATTAAAATGCATTAATTATAGAAAAAAGCAATACAAAAGTATAACTAGATATAAGAAGTAAAAGAGGGACAAGAGCTATGAAATAAAATTAACCCAGAATCTAGAGAAGAAGCTACTTGTACACGGATAAAAATAAAAAAAAGAAAAGAAAGTTAACATTATTCTTATGAATGACATTGGAAGAGATATATATATATATATATATGTATGAATATTTTTTTATAAATTTTAATTGAATTTTATTATTTAATTTAATTATGATAGGACTAATTTCAATTCAAATGCGGTTAGACTATTAATTTTAACCACTACTAATTTAATCAGTCCGATTTCGATATATTATTTTCATCAACGCAATCCCTTGAATCCAGCCACTAAAATCTTTTCAGCCAGCAATAATCCAAAATAGAACAAAAAAAAAAACTAGAATTTTGTTTGATAAGGTTGTTTGGTATCAAGTTAGTGCTCCCACATAAAACTTCTCATTTATATTTACTTTTAGCCCATTTGGTTCAATTACATGAGAGGACTACATATAATGTTGATATAAAAAGCTAATTCAAATGTTTGGTTGGGCTCGTGTAATGTAAAAGGAATTATATTTTGTAATGCAGTAATAATTTTATTCCCCTAATAAACAACAAGAAAGTAGGATCTAATACTTGGCAAGGGATTAAGAACAACTGGTCACATGGTGCTGTTGGGATTCAAGAATTTGTGGATCTAGATGGTAACACAAGAGATTGGTGGAATTGGAATAAGAGTGGTCTCTTTACAGCTAAATCTGCCTATGAATCTCTCAACTCCACAAATGAGGATGACCACAGAAATTGGAAACATATTTGGAAGATGAAGATTCCACAGAGATGCAAGACGTTTGCGTGGTTAATGTACCATAAACGACTAATCACTAATAAACGCAAGTTTAAATTTGGTATCCATCCAAATGGCCTCTGCGATAGGTGCAGTCAGGAAATGGAAGATGAAGCTCATGCCCTTCGTGATTGCGTAGAGATAAAAACAATCTGGAAATTGATTATTAAGCAAGAGTTCCATGACAGATTTTTCTTTGGCGACCTTCAAGATTGTTTCCACATGAACATGAGAAGAGATATGAGAAAGATGGAGGTGGATTGGAAAAGCTTCTTTACCATTTTTACGTGGCTCACTTGGAAAGCTAGAAACGACCTTATCCATTCAAATACTAACATGAATCTGAACATGATGCTGATAACCCCTCAAAATTCCTACCAATTTAACTTGTTTTAATACTCTTTTTTGGGTTTTGGAAGCTAATTGTGTAGGGTTATTCCCTTAAAGCTGAAAAATATGACTTGAAAAAATAAACTCTGATTTATCCTAACAATTGGGGATTATTTGTGTAATGCTTCTAAGATTTTTGGTATAGGAAATAGCAAGAACTGGAAGATGAATGACAAGGAGAAAGATTCAACCAAGTTTAGGTGATCCGAGGAAGATCAAGGATCCAAATCGAGCAACAATAGAAGAACCAAGCTAAGGAGGTTGAAAAAGCACCATCTGCCATGGTGCATGAAGCAATCCACCGCGACTTCTCAAACAGAAAGGAGGAGAGATATTTTGCATAAGGCGCCATAGCGCCTGTCTAAATCGGCCGTGATACCCAGCCCTTTTCAAGGAGCTTGCCATTCTATAATAGGCGTCGCAGTGCCTGGATAAATCCGCCAAGGCGCCCAATCCCGTTTGAGCAGTTCCTCTCTGTGTTATCCGCTACGACGCCTGTCCTTACGCAGCTATGCGTTTTGCTTTGTAACTCAAAATTTAGGGCTTATAAAAGGGGAAAGTCATGATTTTTGGTCAGACTTCGACTTGGGGGCTTATTTGGAAAGGTTCTCTACTAGGGTTTGGAGATTTTGAGGCTTGGGAATATTGGGCTTGAAGTTGCAAGAGATCTGAAGCTTTTTTCTTCATTTTTCTTGGTTTTCTTCTTCTCTTCTCCTTTATTTCTGTAATGGCTGCGAAATATCTTTGTATTTGTGGCTCTTTGCTAAACATGTGTAGTTAGAGTAGTCATTCTAAGGTTATTTTGATCTATTGTATGGATTAAGATTTGTTTTAACCCTTTCTTTAGTGTTAATGATAATGTTATGTTGTTTTTATCTTGAGCTTAATGCTTCCTTGTGATTGTCCACCATTTGGAGTGATTTGTTGATTGGTTGAAGCTTGAGAAAGTTAAATCGATCTTTGGACTTGGATAAAAACATGCTAGACCTGAAGTTTATCCTATTAAATGGATGGTTTGTTGATAGAATAGAAATATATCTATTGACCTAGCATTGTCCAAAAAGGGTTTTAGTTTTCAAAATGTAATCTTTTTAAACAAAAGCAAGAGATTGTAATGTTTTACTAAGATTACAAGACTTGGTTTTGACTTGAGAAACCTTAATTAATATTTGTGAATCTTGGGCCAACTTAACTTATCATTAAACACTAAATAAGAAGTTGCTAATCAAACTTTATGAAGTATAATAGTGAGAAATAATCCTAAATCCTATTTGTCTCAAAGTCAAGCTTATTTTGTTTCGATTTTCATCTTTGTTTTCAAAGTGCATTAAAAACCTTATTTACAACAATTATTTCACTTGACCTAATCATGAGCACAACTATAATTTTTAATTTGACTAGCCTTAGTCTCTGGAAGAACGACACTTTTTATATTACTTGCGACCCGTGCGTTTGCTGTTAAGCTAAATGACGAACAGATGCCTGAAGGGCGCTTGCGATCTTGAATTACATGCACAAAACTATTACGATGCCCGGAGGAGTTAATCTTCGATCCCCTCAACAGTTGGTGACTTAACGGAATGAAGAAGACATAAGAAACAGAGTCGTGTTGGAGGTAGATGGGGCCTTTTTCGAGCTTTCAGAGACGTACGGCATGTGGGGGGCATCATCAAACACTAGGACAATAATCTCGTGGAAGGCTTCCTTCTCAAACTTGATCGTGGAGACCACGTTATCGCTGAGCTCTGGGGTTGCTTAATAGGGCTAAAAAGGGCTTGGGATCTTGGAGAAAGAGACATCATCTTGAGAAGCAACTCGTCAGAAGCTATGGCTCTCATTTGCGGCTGCGACAACAACTCTCATGAAGACTGGGTAGTGGTACAACAACCTTTTTCATCTCTTTCTCAAATCTGGCAACCTTCATCCTCCTCATTCTAGCAACCTCATCATCATCACTGTCCACCGTTGAGATGCTAATAAATCAAATCTGCAATAATGGAAGATGGCTCCTTATCTCTTTCCTTCGACTTCTTTAGCCACTTCTACTTGTTTCCTCCACCTTCGCCAATGTCACTCACCCTACCTTTGTCAACGATGCTAAACTTCTTACATATTACTATATTAGGTCCCTCTTCATTGTCGCTTTACTCCTTCTCCGCCATGTCATGAATACATCCCTCTCTAAATCCCCACAACCTACTTTTCATCAACACCATTAGTAGAAAACTGATTTAAGAGGAAGGGGATGTGTTATTTTAGTCTTTTTCACCTGTATTATTATTAAATTAAAAATTAAAAATTAAAATAAATTTATTTTTATCATTCTTAATATCATACCAAACAGATTTATGTAATCATTATTATATTACATTGTATTCCATATTATTACATTACATGACATTTCCTTTTGCTCACTAAACCAAACGGGCACTTTATATATTGTAAAATTATTTTTTAAAATTACTCTTAAATCCATCGGAGCAAAGAAACACGCGTTTCAGCGTTTTTCCCCGCGTTATTTCCACGATTTACCAATTCCGTGGATTTCGAATGGATTTCCTCTCTTAGTGTTTTCTGTCTAGTGATGGTATTTCCACTCCAGTTCCAGGTGCTGTCTGCTGATTGGAGGATTGAGTGCCACCAAGCGGCGGCAGCACTACGCGAAGTGGAAATGGCAATTCCACCCTGACAAAACCAACCTAGTCTCCAACTAGCTCCTCCTCTTTCCCATACCAAAGGGTTATCTTTTCTCTCTCGCTCGGCGTGCTGAGAGAAGATCCGTGGTCTCTCCTTCGCTCTCCCTTATCCCCCTCGCTGAGGGTGTCTTGCCTGAAAAAGGAAGAAAGAACAACTTTTTAGGTATTTTCTTTTCTCTGATCTCGTCTCTTCGGTTTCATTCTCTGTCCTTCGTTTGCTTTGCTCTTTCTTGTTTTGTATGGTTGAATCTTTTTCATCCGATCGTGTAGATTTGTATTATATTGGTTGAGACTTCTTTTCTTTTTGTGATTCTGGATCTGTTCATATGTTCAATCCGGATTTGTTGACCTATTTCCGGTACTGTGCAGTGGCCTTTATGTGTAGTTTATCAGCACATATTTTTCTGTTTCTCAGGATGGAGTCCGGTTAAGTTGGGGATTTTGGGTGCTCAGTTTCAACGAATTAGGGCCTTAGGCTTTCGATAAATTGATCTTTGATTTTATTTATATATTTATCTATTTATTTTTGGCTGTGTCTTAGTCTTCACGCATGAGTCTCCCTTTCCCTTTGTATATTATCTGTTGCAATTTTTTGGTTCCCGGTTTGTGCTTTAGCTGATTAATTGGTGAGGGAATTCAAGAAGCAAATTTTCGTTTACTCCATTTCGAGGGAAGGATTATCACGATTTTAAATGAAATTATCATTTAGGTTGATTACCGTGTTGGTCCGGTGTAAGTTTACCTCATCATTAACATTGGAGAGTGCAAATCAACCTTTCTCTTTTGTCCTCAAGGGGGGTTTGTAGTATGAGGTAGCATGGAGCACCTTATGCTGCGTATTATAACCTGTTTACAAAGCACTCTGCACTGAACCCAATTTAATTTATTGTATACGGCTGTATATTTTGTTAGCCTTAGGCCGTAGTTAATATTCCTGTAGATATTGGCGATGGGAAGTAGACTTTTTTTGAAAAAGAAAAAGTGCTATGGATTTCACTTGTGGAGGTTGTTGATTTTACTAACTCCACTCTCTCTTCCTTTTCTGGGGAATGTTGGCTTAGTGTTAGGGAGGTGTACCAGTCATGTTCGGGCGTGCACCACCAAGGAGTGATAACACCAAATATTATGAAATTCTTGGTGTTTCAAAAAGTGCTAGCCAAGATGAACTCAAGAAAGCCTATAAAAAGGCTGCAATCAAGAATCATCCAGATAAAGGTGGAGATCCTGAAAAGGTGAGTATCATGGACTTTCTCACTGCATGTTTTTTGTATGACACCCTAACCTCCTTTAGTGTCTATATGTCAGCTTCACCTAATACTTGATTTTAAAAAATTACAGTTTGTTTATATATAGAGTGATGTGTTTTGCGTCCGATTTAAAACATTTGTTCCCTCCACGAAAAGAGTGAGAATTTCGGTCACTGCAAGATGAATTAGCAATATAAGAAACAGTTAATTACAGTTCTCTAACTGGTCTTAGCCTTATACAAATGTGACAAATGATTCATGCTCAATCCTATTTTGTTTCAAACTATGTTGCTTGTTAATTTGACTTAACTGTTGATGGATCATTACTTAGTTCCCTTTATTGCTTTTGAAACAGCGCTAGTGTTTATCAAGTAAATGCTGTCTGAATTGACCGTGGAGTCAGTTTTAAGGCAAAGCCAAAAGTTCAATCAATTTCTTTTATATGAATTTTCCTGGATACCTGCTAACTCCTAAGATTTCATTGATTCAAGTTATACCATATTAATCATGGTCTTTACATGGTTTATCATTCAAAATGATGGGGCCTGCTATATCAGTTTTCTCTGTTTCTTAATTCACCAAAATTTGTTTCCCCTTCCTGCATTGATGCTAAACATCTGCATGTTGTATCAGTTCAAGGAGTTAGCTCAAGCCTATGAAGTGCTTAGTGATCCTGAAAAGAGAGAAGTGTATGACCAGTATGGTGAAGATGCCCTTAAAGATGGAATGGGAGGAGGAGGAGGTGGCCCATTTCATAATCCATTTGATATATTTGAGTCATTCTTTGGCGGTTCAGCCTTTGGTGGTGAGAATTTCACTTTCATGCTCAGGCTATTTTATTTTCTTGTATCAGTTGTCTAGAAACATTGGTCAGCTCACAGTGACAATGACCTTTTAGGTGGCAGTAGTTCGCGTGGAAGAAGAAAGAAACATGGTGAAGATGTGGTGCATACTTTGAAGGTTTCTTTGGAGGATCTATACAATGGCACCACAAAGAAATTATCTCTTTCTAGAAACGTGCTTTGCCCAAAATGTAAAGGGTAAGGACCTGCCTTGAGGATATTTCGCATCAGAAATCTTCTTGGAATATTTGATTTATTCTGTGCTTGTATTCCTCTTGCGGTTGTCTCTGGATGACGTTTCTGATTTGACAAGGGGAATGATATTGATAATGCACAAATTTACATGCATAAATTATATGTGTGCATATATATCTTTCTGATTTGAGGATTTGAATGAAACATATAGTGAAGGTTCATGTCAAATATATATTTTTATTAGAAGTATGTGGGAATATCTTTCTATTTTACCTCTGAATGAAACTGTTATGCGTAAATTACATCCTACGATGGTGCTACTGTGATAATTAAAACAGTCGTACAAATAGTTGATAATTAATTTACCGTAGTTTCAATTTTTTCATCTAATACATTTAAAGAGTCTTCTGTCTAATCAATGATGTCTAAGTGAGTTATTGGTTTCTAGTTATATCCTTCATCAAAGATATAATGTTACATTTCCAAGTTCCGCATGGGGAATCTGAAAGTATGGGAGACACCACAAGTATGCCCCTTTGGATCTGGGTTGAATTGTTGCTGGTTATATAACCCTATAACTTGAGGTTTGTCTCTTGGTGCTTACGGTGCTACACGTCTGCTTATTAATTGAGCTAAGCAATATTATAATACTGGATTTTTTTTTTTTTAAAAATCAAATAGTTTATTAACTGTCATTTTCTTATGCTACATTTTTTGGCCCTTAGCAATCATTATGTTTTAACTTTTCACTTCTTATGAATCAGGAAAGGTTCAAAAAGTGGAACTGCAGGGAGATGCTTTGGATGTCAAGGTACTGGTATGAAGGTTACAACGAGGCAGATTGGACTGGGTATGATTCAACAAATGCAGCATGTCTGTCCTGATTGCAGAGGAAGCGGTAATGGAAACTTTAATTATGACCTTTACTGAGTTGCTTTCTAGTATTTCAACTTCTCCAACTCATCTTCATGGTTGCAGGTGAGGTCATTAGCGAGAGAGATAAATGCCCCCAGTGCAAAGCAAACAAAGTCACTCAGGAAAAGAAGGTGCTAGAGGTGCATGTTGAGAAAGGGATGCAACAGGGTCAGAAGATTGTGTTTGAAGGACAAGCTGATGAAGCTGTAAGTAAAATTTGTGACTATTTGGGGCTTGGCAACGTACTTTGTAAATTAGCTGAAGATGGCTTGAACTTGTAGACATCGGTTTAATCGCATGTTTTCCTGTTGCAGCCTGACACAATCGCGGGAGACATTGTTTTCATCGTACAAGTAAAGGAGCACCCCAAGTTCAAGAGGAAGCATGACGACCTCTATGTTGAGCATAACCTGAGTTTAACCGAGGCACTCTGTGGCTTCCAGTTTGTCATCACCCATATGGATGGGAGGCAACTCTTGATCAAATCAAACCCAGGGGAGGTTGTCAAGCCAGGTACTAATCAATCAATCTCATGAATACATTTGCTGTAGTTTCATTCAATGTATCCCTCAATAATGGTCAATGTTACTTTTGCTTTGTAGGTCAATATAAAGCAATAAATGATGAGGGGATGCCACATCATAACAGGCCCTTCATGAGGGGCCGTCTCTACATCCAGTTTAATGTCGATTTCCCAGACTCAGGGTTCCTCAACCCTGACCAATGCCGGTTACTAGAAACTGTGTTACCTCGGAAGCCAAGCAAACAGTTGACAGATATGGAACTGGATGATTGTGAGGAAACCACTCTGCATGATGTCAACATTGAGGAGGAGATGAGTCGAAAGAAGCAACAGCAATATCACGAGGCGTACGATGAAGATGATGACGAGCCATCAATGCCTCGAGTGCAGTGTGCCCAGCAGTAATAGGAATTTACGTTTACCTTTATCCGGTTAGAATATTATGTGTTGCTATATCCGGTTTGCATGATGCAGATATCACCGTATCTTAGGGCTCTGTTGGTGATGAACTGATGATATTATTTAATGTTTTCCAAACATTTCAGAGTTTATCTAAATTTTGCTTTAATGTTTAGCATATCAGATAAAGGTTATAAATGCTTTGTGTTGTTCACCGTATCTTAGCTGGTTGGGTTTGCTTTGGAGTGAGCTTCCAACTTCCAGTTGTTTAACACATCCGTTGGGTCCAAGGTGCAAAGAACTAATGAAAATTCACTGAGTGTGTTTCAGGCGACAGTTTACACTGATGCTTCCATTTTGCTGAGTTTCTATTAGTGAATTGAAGTTTTATGGTTATGATTAAATTTAACCCCCAACTAGTTTTGAGTGCATTTGGTTGAAACAATAGAAGCCATCACCCATGGTTGTGGTAGTTTTTAATGTGCAACCAACCAAGAACTTAATGATATTGGGGGGAAAAAGTAACGATTCATAATTTTTTTTTTAAAAAAAAAGTAATTTTGAAAATCATAAACAGAAAACTATAAACTTTTTCTGTTTGAAATCCCAAAGAGCACTTGAGAAAGTTTATTTTGGACTTTGTAAAATTACTTATGAAAAATGAATCTAAGCATTTCTGAAATCAGGATTTTATTTGGTTTACGCCAAACATAAAATTTATTTAATTAATTTGGACAATAAATTAAAGAAAGTAGTTAGATTAATTATTTGTAAAAGTATATGTAAGTTTTTCTAAAACATTGTTTAATATTATTTGTATTGTTTGTAAGGATAGGGGATAAGATGAATTTACGTTTTACGTTTATGATGAAAATCAACTCTAAACTAATTTTTATATTTGGGATTATTGGTAGTATTAGTTACGGAATATAACCCAATTACCTGCTACAACTAGCAGCAGGAATTATAAATGCGTGTTGGATGATTAAATAATGAGCAGGCGAACCAAACTTGAATTTGACAATCTTAAGAAATTAATTGCGAATACTATTTCCCATCCTTAATAATATAAGAGCTAGCTAAATAATATGAGTAAATTAAAAAAATTAGTCAAATTAGTTATTTATAATTAGGTGTTGTATTCTTTAAAATGTTATTGTTAATCATGTGTGTTAGCTAGAATTACCATTTGATGAAACCTTTAACATGTGTAATTAGTATAAGGACTACTTTGAAAAAAAAAGAGAATAAATATGAGAGATAAAATAAATTAGAGTATTGTATTTAAAATCAAATTAACTGTCAAACAAATTCTTGTACAAAGGACTAAGATTGTGTATGTTTCAAAATCAAAGTGTCCATATGTTAAGTACCTGAATATCATCGTTCAATTATGTTACGGACAAGTTCTTTGGTGGTAGGGTGTATTATAATATGTATATGTACTATAATATATGTATATGTATCTTCAAAAGTTTTACATTTCATTTTTGCCACTAGAAGGGTAGAAATGGGAAACAGAACTCAGCTGTAAAAGATTTATCTCGCTTATGCTTGGATTTGAAAGCTCCGTCTTTTATTTTCTTGCTTATGAGGCCTCCTTTGCCATTAAGGTTCAAGGCCAAGCTCGTAAGCTTTGATATACCTATTAAATGAATGAAATCTTTTATTTTTGTTCTTATTTACGAGTTAATTGATTTTTTATTATAATTAGTAGGGGCAAAATTGAAAATAAAGTATCATAAAAGGTTGCCACAAAAAAACAAGGTAGTATAAAAGATACAAGTGACTAATAAATAGTGACCAATAAATGGGATCAAAATTCCCCTATAAGCGACAAACAATAAGTCTAGTCTTTGTTTATAAAGATATGTTTTATATAGACAAAAAAAAAGTTTAAACTTTGTTAATTCTTATTTAAAATTCAATAACTTTTAATTTTATTTTTATTTAATATACGTTATACCCCATTAGAACAAAGTCAATACAATAATAAATGAAGAGTAAAATTATATATTTATATAAAAAAAATTTCTCTACCTTATAAATAAGACTAAATTTTTTTTCCGCCCTATAAATAGGATTGGAAGAATACTTTTTAATTTGTTTTAATTTTATCTATAACCCCATTTCTCACATAATCCAAACAAACTTGTTCTAAGTTTTTAGGCTTTCAGGGAGTGCAGTAACACAAATTATGTTATAAAATATGGTGATTGAAATTTAAAAAGGGGGGAAAATTCAGGGTCCTTTGATCACATCCATGGACGTCCCTGTCATGACTCGGACAAATTACATCACTTTATTATTTTTTTTTTTTGGGTATACTACTTGACTTTATTATTATTCATAGAAAAGAAGGCATTTCACAACAGGTGAGAGGTACGAGGATACTGCTAGTGCGTGGCTAAAGTGATAATGGTAGATGCTGTTCCCATACCAATAATATATATTCATATCTTTTGAAACCAAACATTGTACCTTTGTACAGACACACTCATATAGAATCTTATGCGAAAGTTCTCAACAGTAGATCATTATTATAAAGTATATATTTTTTGCACTCCAATTATGAAGTGTTCGGATCAGATTTTATAGTTCAAATTTATTGATATATTTATCAGTAAAATTATAATAGTATTTTCTTTTATAAAACATTAATCTGCACCATTAAAGTATAATTTAATGGAGACGAAGGGGATAGAAGAGGGAAAGGGTAGACGAAAGAAGTTAATTCCGATTGTAGACTTATACATTGGTATTCATGAAACCCAACTTTGTTTTGGAAGCTGTTTTGGAGACCAAAATTGTAAATTATCATAACTAGAAGGGTTAATATATTTTTTGGTCTATTAAATTTCAACGGATTTTGGTTTTAGTCCATCTTTCAACCTATGGTTTTTGGTCCTCAAGAGGCAAATTGGAAGAGGGCAGTGTTTCAAACAACTAATATTTATCACTCTGAATATTTTGACGAATTTTAAGCCTAATAACAAATCCATATGTGAGTTTTGAGAGTGAGAGAACTAGCATAATGGACAACGATGAATTGCACAAATAGTGGGTAACGCATGTATCTCTATTGCAAATTGTGTAATTTTAGTTGTGAATGAAACATTCAGATTTGTGCATGAACTCTTTATTTTTAATACTTTATTTGTGAATGGAGGACATGTATTGGGTGACGCAGGTATCCTTGATGCAAATTTCCTAATTCTAGTTGCGAATGAACACTTGTTGCCAGACTTGTGATGAATTTGTCAATTCAACTAGTTCACTTGCAAATGGACATGTTCTTGTTTTTAATATACGCGTTCTTATTGCAAATTCCATATTTCTAATTGTGAATGAACATTTGTTTCCAAAATTATGATTTTGTCAATTCAACTACTCACTTGCAAATAGCCATGTTCTTGTTGTTAACATACATATTCTTGTTGAAAATAAACTAATTTCAGTTGTGAATGAACACTCATTCCTAGACTTGTGATCAATTTATCAATTCAACTAATTCACTTGCCAGTGGATATGTTCTTGTTATTAATATACGTGTTCTTGTTACAAAATAACACCTTACTTTTGTACCCAATAACGCATCAAATGGAAGCATTTGGAACCACTTTTGTTGGCCACAAAATTAGAAAATCAAGTTCTACAAAACTTTAATCTCAGGTTAATATTCATAGCAACCGTTAACAATTTGGCTAACTTTGAAAAATCATACTAATTGTTAAAAAATCACAATATAGTGGTTCGAAGTTCTATTTGAAGCTCTATTAATTGTCTAAGTGGAAAATATAATCACTTGTCTCATTACCTCACTGTTTGAGTCTAGTTTGGTACTACTTATTTGGTCATTTTCTAATTTTTCAGAATATATGCCTAAATTTAAATAGGCATAATTTTTTGCACAAAACTCCAATTTTAATGAATTACCACTCATTTCTAAAGCTTAAAATGAGATCTAATAGCCTACCAAAATTCGTGACCAAACTCTACGTCTCTACCATTTACTTAGATTCACATGGTTACCAAATTTGACCCTTATTAGGTCATTTTTATCCCCTTATTATGCCATTTCTTGGAAATTCTTACTACTCTCAAATCATGTAATCATAACTCAAACATAATGGCATATAAATACAACTTAGCTACATCTTGCATCACTATAGAGCCATTAGGTCATTCATACATAGCTATTTACAGTTTATATAGAATAAGTCCTAAGTACATAATTTCATCATTATTCAAGGGAGTCTTCATACCAACTCCATTTCCTTTCCTTTGTCTCTTGATAAGTGAGCCCCTAATTGTTGTAATTTAAATATGGAAGGGGTGAGATTTCATGGAAATCTTAGTATTAATAAACTACAACAAAATGTCAACAATGTAACGCATGTCATGCTATGTATCAATAAACATCTCATGCATCATTATGTTCACTATGCACATCTCTTGCATATCATTTCATTACCATGCTATGGAAAGGGAGCATGCCATCATACCATTCTATTCCACAACTCAGCTATATATATTGCCAAAGCATCAAATGCAAGGAGTTTTATGCATCATAACACATCTAGCTTGATTGAACCCAATTCTTTTATGTCTTTTCATATCACTTTCAAGGTTTTTATCACGGGTTAATGGCTCTTTTAGTGATAATTGTGCTTAATTTAGATTAATAGTCCTTGCTTTGAGTTAGTGTCTTTTTTTAAGGATAAAATTATCATAATTGTTTATTAATTGTATTTGATTAATTTCTAAGACAATTTATGCTTCAAATTATTGCTTTTCATTGTAGGACACTTGAGAATTAGAGCCAAGATTGAATACCAAAAGAATACACAACATGAGAACTTAGAGTATTGGTTATGGAATAGTTGGCTGTGACCAAGAAAATTCTTTGCTGCAACACAAGTGTGAAAATGTGGATTAGTGTCTATTCTGGAACAGTTCACTACAACAAACATTTTCCTTCACCGCAGTAAACTCACAGAATTTTGCTGAAGCTCCTTTCTGGAAAGCTTTACCATGGCAAACATTTTCCTTTGCCTGACAAAGTCCTCGTATCAATAACGCCAAATTCGGATCTAAAACACAAAAATGGAACACCCATTCATATAATTTGACCCAAACTGACCCCTTAAACCCTTAGAAACCTTATTTTCAACCCAACACTCCATTCTCTCATCTCTTACACTTCTATTCAC